AAAAAAAAAAAATTATAAGAAAAGGCGAGCATCAAGACGAAGGCAGTAGTATATTGTACACAACGAATCGTGTGTAAAAGATTTTTATCCGATCTAATTATTTGGTTATACCTTACGATTAACAATTGGCCATCCGATTCAAAAGTAAAGTAAAATGAAAATAAAAATATTTTTTACCAGTTAATCGTTTGCATATTTTTAAGCACTGATGAATTGTTAGTATGCTATTAAATATTTGGCCGATTCGACTGCGTTACATATATTAGAGTAATTATTTTTCATTTTTGTACCAGTGAGCTCAACACTGCGTCGCGACGGGACGATTATATATCGTCGTATAACATTTTATATTTTTAGATTTTAATTGCATGTGACTAGACGTACCGACTGTGATCATATCTCTGTCCTGGAAGACGGTTTGGAATGATGGAGCCTCGGCTGACACTTCACACCTGTAAGTACCGCTGCTCGACAGTTCCAATGATTTGAGCACTACTTCGTTCGAGTTCGATTTATCGATCTGCAAGCGAGAAAAGAAAAAAAAACATTTCAAAACGATTATAAACACGCGTGATGCTGATTTGCCTACACGGAGCGCCGTCACAGTAAACAACGAACCGACATAAGTACTTGCAAAGTACTTGCGCATGTTTTAAGTAGAACTAAACATTTTAATCGCTCCTTATTTTTGAAATGTATTTATCCGAAACGCACAGATAATATCATACAGAACACGTATGTTTTTAATTGTTATGGTACAATTTATTAATCAAACGGTGTAGTGTTTTGTGGTTTAGAATAATGTCAAACTTATTGATAGAAAACAATCAAAATTCAATTTAATAATATTTTAAACATTATATGCGTGGTACGACTATTCTGGTACTAGTTGGAGCAAATCTGGACTCCACATGATACGAAAAAAACGCCCGAATGGAGATGATTCCACTGTGCACTAAAGACAAGAATTAATTTATTTTGTATAATGGACATCCATGTGATTCGTAAGTAAATTTATGTAAGGTTTTGATTTAAAATTAAAAAACTAAATTTAGATGTAAATTCAATTCGTGAGGTTTCACGAGCAAATAAATATATCATTCAAAGGCGGAAAAATCTATTTATTTTGTACTCCGGAAATTAATTCAAAATATAATATCGATCGATTTTAGAACACATCAACCGCAATAATGTATATGATACAATAAAGTTTTGAAGGACCTATAGACCAAATAATTATTTTTAGTATGAAAATATAAATGTTTTTGTAAAATACTACCATAATTAGTAAGTTACCTATATCTAAAATAAATATGACATGTGTATCAATTGATATATTATTATAATATATACATATTTTATTTTAACCATTTTGATGTATTTACGTTTCACGAGTTGAAATGAAAAATATCAAAAATAAATAGCTAATAGTTCTTTTACAGAAATCTCATGATATTTTTGTATTTATTAGATGTTGCTATGAATACAGTGGTATACGTTTTTGGGCAACAGTCATCTTACGAGAATATATATGACATTTGGGACATTATTCACCTTTTAAGTTTCTTTCGTTTCATTAAGAAATAAATTGAAAATATATTTTATAGAAAACAAAAATTCCCATGGTAAACCAATAGTATTTAACATATTTATGGCACCATGTTTTTAATTAGGATATTTTTTTATAAACAACGTGTTCTTGGGAGTCAAAACTATTAACATGAATTAAGACCAATAAAAACTTTTTTCTTACGAAAAATTTTAACAATTTTTTAGGAATTGCACAGATACAAACAATATAATTAATTCATTGTTTATAATTAGAGTTTGCAATTACCTTAATTTGTTAATGTTGAGAAACAAAAATAAATTTGGTTGATGAATATTGTATATAGACTACATCGATTAAAATATTTCAGTTTATGCGGTGTATGAGTATTTGGAAATGTATTAATAACGAATCATAATAATACGTCGATGATCCGTTTAGTATTTTTAATATGTAAATTAATAATATTCGTATTCATTTAAAATTGGCATCAATATTCATGAACGAATACATTAAATGGCTTTAAAAATAATTAATTTCATCAAATTATCAGTGTCAAAGGTATACTTTTATATGTATACATATTAGACGTTCGACGGAAAACGTTAACTCGTGTTCTGAAAACGTAAAAGCAAAAGGCAAAATATACCAAAAAATAAAAAGTTATTTCAAAAACATTAAAATATTTTTTTGAACTACATATAACTAAAAATAGAAATGCAGTATTACTCTTAACAGAATTTATATTAACTTCTGAATTTAATGCTAAAAAAATGGAATGTCATTACAAAATAATAATTATTTATCTGTTTCAGTTCCAAACACATTAAACAAAACCACAATTTTTCTTTATTGATGACACCTATTCTTTCAATATATTGTAATGATTTACATCATTCGATTATATATTATATTAAAAATAAATTGTAAAGATGTGTACTACTAACATGTTAAAACCAATAAATAAGGGTTCTTTCAATACGCGCATAGACAAGACATTTCAAATAATAAAGGCCTAATCCAACAATAACCTATTGAAAAATTCAATGGGTCAAACTCCCAAAGGACCAGTTCAAGGTCCATCCTGTCATACGTCCCTATATAACAAGGACACATAACCTTCTCCTAGTTCTTTTACCCATAGGCCACCAGTAGTGCATACGTATGAGGCTTGTGACAAGTGATTATTACATGCTACTATTTCACATTTAAGTTTATTTTTCGATTTCAGTTTTCTGTGCGAGTGTTGAATTAATGTAAAAAGATTTAGTAAATGTAAAATTTCACCCGCAGTAAGAAATAATAACAATACGATATAACAATAAATGGTTATAGAATTATCTTTACTGCAGAATATGTGAAATCATTCCATTAAAAATATTTTAAAAATAATTCCAACTGTAAAAATATCAATATTTATCCATTAAAATATACAAATTGTTATATTATTAATCAGGGTCGTAACGGGAATAAAGATCGAGTGCAGGATGGAATTAAATATGTTATTTTCCTACTCGACATTTGGTAACAGACAGTGTTCTTCAGAAATTGATCTCTTTCTGTTTTTATACGTTCCACCACAAATGTGTTGTACAACGAAAGATTGATGACCATAATCTTCTGTCTGGTAATTTCCACGATAATTTTCAACAAGATTTTGAAAGCCGAATTCGTGTTTCAAAAATAAAGCACTTCAACTATGGAAAAAAAGTTAATAGTGTCGAGAAAAATTAAACGTGAAATCTCAATACACTGTACAGTATAATATAAAGTTCACGGTTTTGACGAAATTGATTTGCTCGAAATTCTTCGAAATCAATATGAAACTAAGATGTCATCTACGCCGAAAAACGTTCATTATTCTCTACGAATTGGAATCTTCTATGCGCTCGAGCAAAAGTACCGAATAGCTTAGAAGAGTATTTTTTCTCATTAAGAGCACATGTATATTATAAACGAGAGACATGCAGACGTTATATATTATACGCTATTCGATCCAGGTAATTTTGTTTGAGTCATTTCAGAGCCGTAGACCCAATGATATGATATTTACATTTACTTTGGACCCTAAACGTTAGGTGATATAAGAATATTTCCATTGAATATTTCATTACTCGAACGCCAACCCTAAGTAATTTGTCGTTTTACCGCATACACGCAAACCATTACTTCCCCTGCCTCTATACACACGTGTTCCATTCCTTTGGAAATGGGAGCAATATATTCGTACTTCAACCGTGTAATATATTTTGGAATTTTATCTGTACTCGGGGCGCACACGAATTCATAGCCAAGAATAATAAATATTGTTACTTCTGCCGGAGTAATATATATATATATATGTATATTTAATATACTAAATCAATAATCGTACCTACAGCAGAAATAAAATTCATCATTAGTTTTTTACCACTTATAGTATTTATACTCGTACACACGAAACTAATGTGTATTTTAATTTGACATTTTCACCAACGCCTCAATATTCACTTGAATTATCCAATAAATTTGTTTTCGTATCGGATATTCCTCGTTTTATTTTTTCTCCCTTTATTTATCGAGATTCAAGCGTAAATGCAAATAATCCTTACATATACAGTCCATAAAAGTTTTTCAAAAACTGTTACTAATGCTTTTCGGCAACGGTTCACCAAACGGTTAGGGGTGTTTTTTTCGAATAACCAACAAAATTTATAATAATCGTTTCCTTAATAATCAAATGTCATATTATAAACAGTTTTTGAAATGGAAATCGATTTGATGGGACTTTTTTCCGCAATCAACGCAAAATATATTTATATACACACATGCGTGCGGCGATACCACTTAAGTATAATAACTTCAACACATACATAGGTGATGTACTTACGTCGATATAAATGCCCTGTTTTTCGAAGACTTGTATTTTCGGTACACTTTTGGGCAAATACCTGAAGAACTCGTCGCCGTCTTTGTACCATTTTACCGAGTACAGGGTCTCTCCTTGCAGGTCGTATGTGCATTCTAGCTTTGTGCTGGTGCCCAACACCGTGTGGTTAGCGATGCGCACATTCAATAGTTTAATGTTCCGGACGAAAGAAGCTGAAATCACACGGCGTTTTTGAGTTTGTGAAAAAAATAAAAATATTAATAAAAACCATCGCAAACAGCCCCAAACAATACGCGATGTGCAATGGTATAAATATATAGCGCTGTACAAATAGTTTATCGAACAAATTAAATTATTACAACGTAAAGACGTGAAGACGCGGCCACGTATATACACATGCAATTACGATTCTGCCGATGTGCTGCGATAAAACTGTTGGTAAATATTATATTTACACTCGCGCGAGCGCATGTTCGAACGAAAATTTGTTGTTATTTTGGTTTTCAAATACGAGGAGAAAACCTAGAGTGGATATCGTTTCTAATAACGTCCAAAAAACCAAATAAAAATAGATTTTGTAACAGTTGATAATCATTATGTCCAATGTATTTAAAAAAAAAAAAGAATTAAAAAAACCATAAAATCCAATAATGATTTTATAATAAATAAATACTCAAAGTTGTTTTAATTTATATTTTACCATTAAATCTAGACTTTAATACGACAAAGAGAAAAATAAAAAGTTTTTGCATTATGATAATATTATACATAATATTAAAAATATCTGATGTTTTGATATGCATAAAAATCATACAGGGATTTTTTTTCTTCTAGTTTTTAAAATCATTTGCCAGAAATTTTGCTTCTCTTTCTTCTCTTTTGTTTTCGAAAACACTCCAAGACAATCAAAACGGAAATTGTATCATACATTTCTCAACACTCAATAAAAGTTTTTTAAAAAAAAATAAATTAATAATCAACTAACTAAAAGTGTTAATACTATTAAGTGACTGTTTTACTCAATCTATTCACATTATTTTGTATTATAATTTATTTTAACTATTATTTAATGCTTTACCTATACTTGACTCGCCTATTGTCGTTGAACAAAGAAAATATTGAATGTAAAATATATTCGCTGCTTAAAAACTAACTAAATTTATCGTCTATCATTGGTATCCTAATTATACATATGTAAAAAGCCCTTCACGTACATCTCGTTTTCAAAATATCTTTCTCATCCCTAGCTCCAACATAATATGACCCTTTTAGACAAATTATGTCAGTCGTCACAACGATCTTTCATTTGATGATTGTTTCAATCTACATTTTTTTTCTTTTTTTCTGTAACTGTTAACTGTAACCTCAATTGTAAGATTTTGTTTAGAATGTCTTACTACCGTATTTATCTTACTCATTGTTATTGCACTCAGGTTAATAGGGGAAACCAGTATATTTATAATAAATATATAATTTGTTTATTAATGATTTATATATAATTATTACTTCATTCGGTATCATATTTACCTAATACTCAAATTAATAATAATCAAATTAAAAAAAAAATCTAATAAAACCATACAAGTTTAAAATAATACTTGCGGGTTCAAGACTCGGAGCTCCGGTGTTTGTAATAAACGGTTTTCACCATACTCCCACACCTGAAATACCCGTAAAAGATTGTTTACTGTTATACTGCACAATTTTTGCACACACACACCGTCGTCAAGTGGAATAATTTACATGATATGTAAGCGTTTACGTTAGTCACGGTGTTTATTACGAACACCGTGTGCAACATTGAAACTACCTATAGTTTTTCGTGCAACAAACCAACGGCATTGAACACGTGTACACACATATACGATTGTCTGTCTGTATGTATACGTGTACGTAATTTATCGTATTTCCCGTTCGCAAACAGCGGTTTACACAACGTGTTCGATGTGCTAATCCTTATTGAACCCATCGCAGTCATCGTGTACACACACGTACGGGGAATCTTTAATTGTAACCCATCCCCCGCCACGGTAATAATATCGGTAGCGTGCGATGTACCACGATAAATGTGTGTTTCGACGTAAATATATTTTTTATTCTTTTTTATTTATTTTTTTAATATTTTTTTTACCATGTTGTAGTTTTTCGTTTCCGTTCCGTTTTTTTTCGCCTTTTAAAAATACCGTCAATTACACGGGAATGCTGTTTGTACAAAACATTTAGAGTGCCCGGGTTAGGGACGTGGAGTCCGTGATTTCTCGCGCGTAATTTAATTGTAACGCATTTCACACGTAGAAACCAAACACCTGCAGTTGTGTTTCGTCGTTTTCACTGACGCTATGAGCTATACGTGTACGGAATAAAGTATCAACGGCAAAGAGAAAATCACCGATTTTCATCTTTAACCTTTGGGGAGGTGAAATGTGTGATAACTCTATTTTTATTAGCGACTTTAACGAGGAATAAAATAATATAACGAAATGAAAGAACCACACCCGAAGACATGTTTGGATTTTTGATTCGCATACACCAGCAGAGCTTGAGCGAAATCAAATAAAAAGTTGACCTCGTTCCGACACTTTGACGAACCACTCGGGCGGTGACCGTATGTGGTTGAGAATACTCGTCTGTCATCGCGTTTAATTCGAAAACAATTTTCGTCGTAATGAAACTTTGAAAACATTCGAAGCACGGTTATCGTTACTCATTCGCAGCTTGTCCCAATCTCTGCGGTACAGAATCCAATGCGACTGATTATATTTTCATTGTAAATCGGATGAAACCAGACGTTATTTATAAATATATATAAATCTCTTCATGAATCTCAAATGGCCATTTCCAACAGCCAATTTTTGTACAAAAGCCTACTGCGACCTATCTGGCTCAAGTACCGAAAACACGAGTCTGAATAATATTGAAATGGGCGTATCCAAGTTGGGTCCCAGACAGAATTGGGCATTAGTCGAATAAAATATTATTCGATTGATTATTTGAATAAAAAATTATTCTTCATTGATTTATTCTTAATTTTATTATTGATTTTTATTTTTATTCATTATTTTAATTTGTATTATTATTCGTTATTCATTATTCGGAGATTTTTATTTACTATATTTTATTCATTATTCAGTTATTCGTTATTCGTTATTCCCTATAATCATATAAATAATAAATTTAATAAATCCTTAATAACGATGTATAATAATAATAGACTTATTATTTAGACTTAAATAATATATATAAATGTTATTATTCTTGATACACATACGTTATTATAGTTACTATAACGATAATTTGTATAATGTTTAGCTTTAAAATATCAGGTAAATAGATTGCTATAAAAAACTAATAATAATTATATTATCTGTAATTTTATTTTATTATTTTAATTTTTTGACTGTAGATTATTTCCTACTTATAAATAATAATATTATTAATATCCATATCAATATTTTTTTTATTCGCCCAAACGGTGTACGCCCGTTCTAATTTATTGGTAATTGACAGTCCTAAGTCTGTAAAAATGAGAAGCAAATTTTTTTTTATATGTACCCAACTAGAGTAGTATTTGTAAAATCGTGGGACCCAAATAGTGTACCTACCTGAAAAAGAATGGGACTCAACTATTGTACTACCTGAAAAAACATTAGGACCTAACCAGACTAAATAAGGGTCGGCGGGACCCAACTAGTAAATGCCGCTAAAACATGTTCGCTATAAATATGTTTTATAAACAAATTATCTAACCCCAACCCAATCCGAAAATATTATATCTGAACACTGTCCAGAGTTATGTTAAACTTAAAGAATAGTATTAAAATTATTTTAAATTAGTTTATAAAATAAATCATAATATATACTTGTTAAAATGTGTTAAACCACATTTTTTCTAGTCGGGAGAGGGTATGGTTTGAATTAATAATTATTTTTCAATTCCTATTATACGTACTCAATCTATGATTTAAAGGAAAAAAACTTGATAAAAAAAATCATCGATTTTAAAAGTAACTGTCATAATATTATACTCCTTTTGATTTATAATATAATAAAAATAAAGTTAAATTTTTATTTTATGCTACATTGATTTTCTTGTATATAGAAATAAACTATATTTTTATCGGTAAAAAATTGAATTAATTTGCATATTTTATTATTTTTATTATAATAATATCATCAACTCATTGATTTTAGTTAAAATAACTACTAGATGTTAAATATATATAGCTATATTATTTTTTTTATTGTGCATGCATAGGTTTCTGCAAACAAGATGTACTTTCTGATTTTGATGTATTCTTTTTAAATTAAATGTGCACATAATACATAAATATATATAGGTTTTTTATTGCAAATGGAACCAAATAAAATCCCATCTATATATTTTATACAACTCTTTTAATTTTTAAAAATAACTATAGTTTTATATAACATTCAACATCACTGTCGCTTTGGTAGATGTTATTTCAATAATTTATTCGATTTCAATTTAAATGTAATAAAAACTATTGAATATATATAAATAATAATAAATAATAATATAAATAGTACTATAAATAATAATTATAATAATAATAATAATAATAATAATAATCATAATGAAAAAATACAAGGAAAAATAAGTTACTTTTTATATTGGAAAGGCCTTGATGATATGATGAGATCTGATAAAAATAAATGTAAGTACTTAGATGGAGGATCAGATTGGAAGGTTTAATCATCCGATTAATATAGCTGGAGAGATAGGTGTTTGATGGGATGGTCCTAGTGGTCGTGCATCTGAACAAAAAGTAGAATAAGGAAATACAAGATATAAAAATAAAAGTTCTTGACTGTAGTATTATTAGTGTGTTAAATTGAAGACCTGTTTCGATTTAAAAAAAAAAAATAAAAATATTTTCAGGTTCAAAACACACTCTCAGTGTTATGTTTAATAATAGGTACTTAACTATTATTTTATGAATATTTACATAAAAACAAAATTATTTTCGTATTAAATAGTAAATTTTGATTTTAAAACGATATGTTAGAAAGTAAATATATTTATCATTTTTATGTTAAGCTATATATTCTTAATATGTTTTATGTCAGTTATATTGTACTTGTATTAAAATCAATAGTAAAATTCGGTGTGTTTTCTGCTTTCAGTAGTTTAGCATTTTTATGATATAATGGGAAATTCGAGAAACCGAGAAACGGATTGTTTCGTGAATAG